ACAATATCAATGGTCTTAACAGCAACTATGTTGTTGATGTTAATAATGACAACGTTAGAACAATTGAACAAAATTATCATCAAAGTCGACAACAACAACAACAACATTTTAATAGTTCCATTAATATTAATTATTCGTTACCGAACATTAGAAATGACTACCAAAGTGTGTATAAATTTAATAATAGTTCTGATATTGGATTAATCGCCACTAGTCCAAATGAAAACATCTTCTCAACAAATTTTCTCTTTGACTACCAAAACAAGGGTCAACATTTCATTGATATTAGCAATTATGAAATCAATAACAATGACAATTATATTAATAACCTTAATAATTTTAATGCTAATAATAGCAATAACAATCATTTGAATAATATTGATAGTAATAATTTTAATTTTAATAATACTGATAACAGTTATAATTTGAATTTTAATTCCAATCATAGTAATGATTTTATTTCTAACAATGATACTCATAGTAATAATAATAATCTCAATTGCATTAATAACGATTATTTCCATAATAACAATAATAATGAATTTCAAGATTTTTTATATTATTAAGTATTAAATTTTTTTATGGATAAAAGTATGATTTTTTTTTTTTTAATAATGTATCGATATATTATTTAATAATTAAGATGTAATAAAATAAATTATGCTAAGCTATTAAAAAAATAAAATTTTAAAATTTCTAACCAAATTTATAGTCGTCAATCATTTAGAGAAACTCATAGTGATGAATTCGGATTTAAGACTCCCTCGTAAATAATTAATAAATATCATTATCTCGAGCGTAAATAATTAGATAAAATTGAGCTTCACTTTACAGATTTGTATTCGAATGGAAATATCACTTACCATGACCGGATGAATTTCAAAGGTCAAACAAACCCAGTATATAAAGATTTCGTGGATTTCTTCATTGTATAACCAAAAATATTTATTTGATCGCCATGAAAATCAAATCGGAAATGACGATTCATTTTGTCTAATCTGTTTTTTTTTTTAATGCTAACGTACATCGTGTATTACGTGTATATGTATTGTTAGTATATTTAACAATAACTAACTGTATATCGATAAATCATAATAATCACATATATATACACACATCCATCGGCCCATAAATACATCCATCCATGCGCGCTTTCC